TTAGTAGAAAGAGAAAGCCCCTACTCCCAGCCCCTAGATTCCATTTCCCAGAGGTAACCATGAATCCACTGTTTATCATTCAGTATGTTCCTTCCAACCTTTTCTGTGTGTATCTAGATGCACACACACAAACATGCTCATCGTTACAGGATGACTCCGCCATTATCTGGAGTATTTTATAGACAATTTCAATTATCCTTAGTCCTCCTTCACGTTTAAATTGGATTAGGCACTCTGTGCGTCAGGAATGAGAACCAGATGGGAAAAAATAAAGGCCCAAAGAGAGCGATGAAAGGAGGAAGTGTGGGAGGAAGGAAGGAGAAGAAATGAAAGGCAAGGCAAGTGAAGGAAAGGAAAGGGGGAAAAAATTCTACTTACTGAGGTGTTTTGGACAAGAATAATGAAAACCTAGAAATAGAAACATTCACCCCTCTCTATTCTCCCACTTCCGGTGCTCATGGAGTTCTGGAAATTATGGCAGATGCCCAGTGGCTTACATTGATTGATTTTTGAATGTTAACCCGGTCCTAGCCAGTCCTGGTGGTCTAGTGGTTAAGATTCAGTGCTCTCGCAGCCACCACCTGGGTTCATTTCTGGGTCAGGGAACCTCACCACCCGTCTGTCGGTTGTCACACTGTGGTGGCTGTGTGTTGCTGTGATGCTGAAAGCTATGCCACCTGTATTTCAAAGACCAGCAGGGTCACCCATGGTGGACAGGTTTCAGCGGAGCTTACAGACTTAGACAGACTAGGAAGAAGACCCTGGCCACCCACTTTCGAAAACATTGGCCATAAAAACTGTATGAGTAGCTGTAGGGCATTGTCTGACACAGCACCAGAAGGTGAGAGGAGAAAGACTGGGAAGCGTACGGCTCTGCTGTACACGAGGTCACTAGGAACCAGATTCTACTCGTGGCACTAACAAAAAATAAACCTGTCCTGCATTCCTGGGATCATTTTGTAGATGCGATCTCAGGGATGAGAGTGTTTGGCTGAGACTAAATGAGAACACAATAAAGTATATTACATCTCTTATTTAACCAACATCTTGGTGTGAACCTTCTAACCTCTGGAGACTAGTGATTCTCGACTTTAGTGAGCATTAGAATCACCCAGAGAGCTAGTAATTATGCAGATTCCTGGATAGCATCCCCAGAGATTCTGATCTAGTAGATTTGGGGTGGCTCTGAGAATCTGCATTTCCAAGAAGCTTACAAATGATGCTAATGCTGCTGCTATAGAATATAAAGCAAAAAAAAAAAAAACAGATTAAAAACCTACTGGAATAAGAGAGATTCTTCTATATACAGCTGCACGCTTATATGAGCTTAGAATTTCTCTAGAGGCAAATACAAGAAGCTGATGGCAATGTTTGCCTCTGAGAACTGGCATCTGAAGGAAGAGAATATGAGGTAGACTGACTTTTCACTTTTACCTAAATCCTTTTTGAACCAGGTACACTATGCTAGAATTACCTACTCAAATGTGAATAAAATAAGTGTATTATATATTCTCCCCAACTCCTAATTAAACATAAATGCACATACCTTTTCACCCAGCAATTTCACTTCTAGGAATTTATCCCACAGATAAATCTAAACATGTACAAATGAGAAGGTTATTCATTGCAACATTTTTTACATGGCAAGAGGTTACAAAAAGTTAAAAATCCATTAGTAGTGGACTGGTAGAATAAACTATATACATTGCTCGATGGAATAATACGCAATCATAAAAAATAATGTACTGATGTGGAACCACCTCTGTGACATAATATTAAATGGAAAGATGCAGAAAAGGAGTAAATATTATGTTAATATTGTATAAATAATAAGAAAGAAATATATTTATTAGCTTACATATGCATAAAATATCCTGGAAGAATACAAAAGGCTTGATATCATTTTTTGCCTCTGAGAAGAAAAATGAAAGGCAGCACATGTGGGTTAAAGAACTTTTTTTTTTGAGGAAGATTAGCTCTGAACTAACCTCCACTGCCAATTTTCCTCTTTTTTTTTTTATTTTTAGCTGAGGAAGATTGGCCCTGAGCTAACATCTGTGCCCGTCTTCCTCTATTTTATATGTGGAATGCCTGCCACAGCATGGCTTGATAAGCCGTATGTATGTTGGCACCCAGGATCCAAACTGGCGAACCCCAGGGTACTGAAGCGGAGTGCATGAACTTAACTGCTGCAATACTTGGCTGGTCCCTAAAGAGTTTTTAAAGTATACTCTTTTGTACCTTTCGAATTTTGAATTACGTGATTATATTACCTAGTAAATAGTCCTTTAAAAGTACTTCGTAGATATCTTTCCATGTCACGGAAAACAGAGCTATCTAATTTTTTAAATTGCCGAGTGATATTACCTTGTTGGATTTATGTATTTAACCAGTTCTCTGATAATGAAAATTTAGAATGTTTCCAATTTTTCACTATTGTAAATATCTTTGCAGTAAATATCCTTGGATATGTTTTTGCATACATGTGCAAAATATTTTTGAACAATAATTTCTTGTAATTATTATGATGAAAAATACATATATTTAATTTTGATTATCGCTATTTAACTATTTACTTCATCTTTTTGTGTTCCTGTTACTTGCAATGGCTTATTGGACATTAGGAAGTTTATAGGTCTCTGATAATCCTAGGTTTTAGCTGCCCCGAACATTTTTCCTTCCCTCAGTTTTCAGTTCCAGAGCTCTTCTTCCTCGTGGAGAGTCTGTTTCACGTGGTTTGGGAGGGGCTAATTCCCCCTTTCCCAGTTCCAAAGATGTGACCAGTCAGAACATTCCATCCATGAGGCTGGAATGATTTGTTCATAGATGGACATGTGACCCCAGTTGAGCCAATGAAAGTCACCCCTAATATGTTTCACAGTAAAAGGATAGATGGTGAATTTTTCTCTGAGGTTCCTGACATTTCAGTACCTAAACCTGGAATCATCAGTGGCCATCCTTGCAGCCTGGAAATGAGGCAACTTAAAGAAAAGCGTTTCTAAGAGAGAGATGGTAGGTAGGTAGATAGATAGATAGACAGATAGATGATAGATAGATGGATAGATGGATAGACAGACAGAAAAAGTGATAATGCCTTGATGGCAGAGTTTGAGCTCCTGAATTGGCTGTGCCTGAAGACACGTGCACACACTAAGATTAATACATTTATTTTAGTTGCTTCAGCTGGTTCAAGTGGGTTTCTGTCATTTACAATCAAGATTCCTTGGTTAACAGCTTAGCTCTTTGTTAGTCATATGTATTACAGATGTTTTTCTCAGTGTGCGTCATAAAGGCGGTTTTGGCGGTATAGGAATTTAAAAAATTTTTACAGAGTGAATCTGTTGATCTTTTCCCTTGGTTTTCATTTCCGGCTTAAAAAGATCCTTCTCATTCCGATTCTTTAATTAAGACTCTATTTATCTCTTTATATTTTCAATTTAGACCTTTAGGAATCTGGAAATTAATTGTTGTGTGGTGTGAGGCAGATAATCCCATCTTTTAATAATTATTGTTTTTTTAAAGATTTTATTTTTTCCTTTTTCTCCCCAAAGCCCCTCCGGTACATAGTTGTATATTCTTCGTTGTGGGTCCTTTTAGTTGTGGTATGTGGGACGCTGCCTTAGCGTGGTTTGATGAGCAGTGCCATGTCCGTGCCCAGGATTCAAACCAACGAAACACTGGGCTGCCTGCAGCAGAGCGCGCAGACTTAACCACTCAGCCACAGGGCCAGCCCCCAGATAATCCCATTTTTTAAAAAAGAGTAATGCATTATATAAATGTGTGCAGATACATATATATGTGTCAAAATGATGATCTCTGGTTTTCACTGGGTGGTGGCATTACAAGGGGGATTTTGTTTTCTTCTTAGGTTTAGTTCTATTTTCAAATATCTCTATAGTAAGTATGTCTTGCTTTCATATTTAAAAAATACACTGTAAGTTATTTTTTTAAAGATCGAGAAGACATCACTTAGATTCAAGGTTTATACTATGAGGAGATCATGAGATTGAGCTCTAAGTACGTTTCATATTTGTCCAAATGTCTAGGTTCATTTGTTTCTCTGCAATGTCTCTGAAATATTGTAATTTCCCTTGAAACCTATTCTTTCATGTTTATTCCCTAGCTCAATGTGACGCCACCCAATTACTCAAACCAGAAACCAACACTTTTTAAATTAAAACAAAGTACTTCTTTCTCCAAGACACATTTCAGGGATGAGAATGAGTATTAATAGATTATATGCCACTAGGATTCAATCTTATTTTTTATCTTGTTTTATATTTTTGGGTATATTACATTTTTAATGAATTTATTTGTCATCATGCTATAAATATCCTTTTCTGGATTAGATGTGTGATATGGTAGCTACCTCTTCAATATAAATAATTTTATTTTTTTGCTGGAGAATACAGTGTGTACTTCTCAGGCAAGATTTTCTTATTTCTGCTTAAAATCAAACTGAGTCTCAAGGAGAAGAATACACACACCCCAATTTATTAAAATCAATAGTCAGAAAAATTATTTTGCCTAGTTTATTTTATCTTTGATTTAAATGATATTACCAAATGGTACACACAAACCTGACATAATGTGTATTTTCTGACATTCTCTAATGATGATAGCTGCATAAATTTAAATCATTCCATTTCATCAAGTTTAATTAGCAACGACATTTTAGATTTAAGTTAACCGCACATAAAACATACTCCATATGTGAAACAGTTCTATGCCATTCTAAAATTACTTGTTATATCAAAATGCTCTTTTACCTTCTTATTACTAAACACTAAGTCTTAAAGCTTCAAGTTCTTCTGTATGCGTATGTTGCTTTCAATGTAATTTTGTAAGTTTTACCTTATTTTCTTGCCAGGCTGTTACTGAAGGCCTGTTGCTGCTAGCACCAGCCTATGAAATTGGGCTTTATGAAATGAAGGTCAAGATACCTGAGAGACTGCACCACCTTCCTAAGATCCTGGGTAATGAATTCAAACAGCTAAAGATAAGACGGGAATTAATTTTTTATTATTCCCAAAAGTAATCCACAATTGAGATGGTTAGCACTGAACAGATTTCCACAGAAATGCACAAACATTGAGGAACGGGGTGACTTTGAACCCATACAAGACACAAACTTCACCGATGATTTTGAAATGCTACCTTATCACTTAGAATGAAAGCTTGAAAAGGTCAGTGGTAAGATAACTCTTTTTTACAAAAGATTCTAACAGTTTTCTTTTTATAGTAAACATGCTCTGAAAGAAATTTTCTGGATCTTCATTGAAATCCAAGGACCTTTCCGAATTCTCTTTAGGTAATAATTCTGCCACAATGCCCTAACAAGCACAAACTTTCTGAAGAAGCTAGGATTACAAAGAGGATTCACATGAAGAGACACTTATGTCTTCCATCAGAGCATGTCATCTCAAAGAAATGGGTTACCATATACATAAACTTTAATGGCTGTTCAAGTCTGACTCTACTCGGAATTTAGACGTGTTCTTTTCCCAGAAGTGCCATCTAAAGCCAAATTGCTTTCCTTTGCTTTTCTATAGCAAGAGGAAGAACAGACATGAAACATAACAGGTAGGTGTGTTACTCCAAAAATATCGAAGGATCGGATGACACGAAAACCTTCACCAAATTTGGGACCACAGCACCAATCACATCTGGATGTCCTGCAGTAGAGGAAACAATAATCAATACTTGGTAAATTTCTACTAAAGGAAAGACATTTTGGTAGATGCATGTAAGACTCAAAGCAGTAAAAAATATGGCCTTTAACATTATTGATCTTACCATCTAACTGAGGAGCAAAGACATGCACAAATGAAAAATTAAATGGGAAAAAATAAAGTAGATACATGTGTATAAAACGATCCTAGTTTTCTGAAACTTTTGTTTGTATAGATGCATAGTAAGAAACTCTAAGGATAGACCCCAGATAGAAAACAGTAATTATCCTGGGACAATATGATCACAGCAGATTTTAATTTCTGATTTCCAAAAATTTCTATAATAAATGTGTATTATTTTTATAATTCAAAATAAATCATTATTTAAAAAGTAAAGGAACTATCAAAACCTAGTGTAGGGTTAGTGTCCATATATATTTTTAAGTGTTCACAAGTCAGTTAAAAAGAAAAAGACATCAACCCATTAGTACATAAACATTGGCACATGAACAGATTATTCACAGAAGAAGAAACCTGAATGTTCAGAGAACACTGAAGAATAAAGCTTCTCAGTCTCATTAGCAATCAGGGAATACAAAACAAAATAGCAAAGAAATGCCATCTCATAATCCTCAGAGGGGCAAACTGTAGAAGTCTGTCAGTACAGAGGTTGGTGAGGATGAGGACCAACAGTGACTCTCATACTTTCTTGGTGGAGTATAATTTGGCATAATCACTTTGGAGAGCAACTTGGTAATTTCTACTTAAGTTGAAGATGCACATACTCTATGACCTAGAAACACTTGCATATTTGCATAAAGAGATATGCTTTAAAATGCTATTGTAGGTTTCTTGGCAATAGTAAAATTGGAAACAATCCAAATGTTTACCAGCAAGAGAAAGAATAGAGTACTCATTCTGTGGAAAACTATACAAGAGTTAAGGAACTAGAGCTATATCAATCAATATGGTTAAGTCTAAAAAAATTGTTGAGTATAGTAAATAAGTTGCAGAAGAACATTTTTTGTGACATTTATATAAAGTTTAAAACATGAAAAATAATGTTTGTTAGCAGTTTTTTCTGACACTAACTAATTCTCCAGTTCTCTGCAGACATCAGCTGGGGGTCCTACAATTCAATTCAATTCTGACACTAATTGTGCCGAGTTAGCATCAGACTCCATAGATTCAAGGGCTCAGTCCCACAGGATTGCTCTCACTTCAGATGCAGTTGCAAGGATCAGGTCCCCAGGTTACCTATACTTCTGTTCAGCCTGACTACAAACTGGGGGTTCCCACACCACCCCCTCCAGATTTGGTAATTTGCTAGAACAACTCACAGAGCTCAGGAAAATGCTATACTTGCTACTATAGTTTGTTATAAAGGATGCCAATGAACAGCCAGATGAAGCGAGGTCTGAAAGCGTCTTGGGTACAAGAGCCTTTTCCCTGTGGAGATAGGGTGTGCCATCCTCCAGGCAGAAGATGTGTTTGCCAACTTGGAAGCTCTCTGAACCCCGTTGTTTAGGGGTTTTTATGGAAGTGTCATTACATAGGCATGATTGATTAAATGATTGGCCGTTGGTAATTGAACTCAATCTCCAGCCCCTCTCCCCTCCTGGAGGTAGAGCTGAAAGTTTCAGCCTTCTCATCCAAGCGCTCAGTCCTTCTGGCTGCCAGTCCCTCATCCTGAAACTATCTAGGGGCCCCTGAGAGTCACCTTATTTGCATAAATTCATATACCCAGTCCCTCGAAAAGGGTTCGTTACAAATAACAAAGGACACTCCTATTAGTCAGGAAATTTCAAAGATCTTAGGGGCTCTGTGCCAGGAACTGGGGAGAAAGACCAATATTTTTTCTTATACCACAATCTTGTTTATGGAAATATACAGATGTAGCAAAAATAAAACATGTAGGGAAATCATAACTATCCACTTAAAGAGAGAGGTTATTTCTGGGGAGGAAGCACATGAGATTAGAGAAAGGCCGAAGGCAACTTTAACTGTATCTGTAATGTTTTACTTAAAGATCTGAAGCAAATGTTGAAAAATGGTAAGATTTGCTGAAGCTATGAGGTGTTCAGTTTTAACTATACTCATTATATATATTAGAATGCTAATTCTATTTCACAATAGAAAAGCAACATACGCTAAATTAGGAAATGAATACTCTATGAAAGAAAATTGTCTAGCTATCTTACATGCCGTAACTCAAGCCGGCTGAGCTGTGAGTCAAATCAAAGCTTTTGAAGCTGATCTCACAGAAACAGAGAGTAGAATGGTGGTTGCCAGGTGCCGGGTGGAGAGGGAAATAGGGAGATGTAGGTCAAAGAGTACAACTTTCAGTTATCAGATGAACGAGTTCTGAGGATCTAATATACAGCATGGCGACTATCGTCAGTGATGTGGTATTGTATACTTGAAATTTGCTGAGAGTAAACCTTAAGTGTTCTTACCACACATAAAAAGAGTTAACTATGTGAGGTGATGGATGTGTTAATTAACTTTATCTTTGTAATCATTTCACAATGTATATGTATATCAAATCATCACATTGTACACTTTACAAACATGCACTTTTGTCAAACAAACAAAACCAAAACCAAATTGAATCTTTTGAAACAAGCCTCCTCTGGCTGGGAATTGTAAGGGAGGAAAATAATCTTTTTCTTTTCTTTCTTTTTCTTTTTTCACTTGAGGAAGATTCACCCTGAGCCAACATCTGTGCCAGTTTTCCTCTATTTTGTATATAGGTCGCCACCACACCATGGCCCCCAATAAGCAGTGTAGGTACACACCTGGGAACTGACCCTGTGCTGCTGAAGTGGAGTGAAGCTCCAAACTTAACCACTAGGCCACAGGGCTGACCCCGGAAAAAATTGTTTTTCCTCTACCCATCTTAGGTTCATTGGCTGGGGCTCTGGAAATTAAACTTGTCAGTTTAAACTTGTCAGATAGATTAACAAGAGAAAAAAGAACCAATTTAAGTATACACATGAGAGACTTTCACAAAGAAATGATACTTAAGGAGGTAGTTAGATGATTTAGGCTTATGTACCATCTGAGGCTAAACAAAGGAAAAGGGATTTTGGGCTTCTGGGCCAGAGAGGCAAGTTGTGGGAAGGTGAGGGGAGGAAATATAGGTAAATAAGGACTGCCTTGTTATGCAAATAAGGTCCTCTAAGGTGATAAGAGTTGTCTCCCGGAGGAGTTGTCTTCTTAGTGTGGAGACACTTTTACAAATGGAAACTTCCTTTACAGAAGGCGAAATTTATATTCTATTCTTAGGCAGTTAAAAGGAAGTAAAGAGCTTTTCCTGCATCTGCTGGATCTCAATTGCCTTTGGTTCAAAATAATCCATATGTCAAAGAGGCATATTTCATGGTGGCATATTCTAGAATCCTTCAGAATAAAGAGGAAAAATTTAGAAGGTCCAATATTAGCTATTACAGTCCCAGAAAGAGAAAGCACAGAAAAACAGAAAACAAAATTTTCAAAGCAATAGTGTAAAAAAATTTCTCAGAACTGAAATACATGGGTTTCCAGAGTGAAAGGATTATACCAAGTGCCCAACACATTGAATTAAGAAAAAGATCTCACAAAGGCACATCACCACGTAAATTTAAATCAACCATAATAAGAAGATTTAAAACACTTCCCAAAAAAAGCATAGGTTATTTATGAAGAATAAAGAATAAGAAAGCTGCAGATCTCAAACACAAAATAGAAAAGTCAAAGATGATGAAGCAGTGTCTTCAAAATCCTGAAGAAATGATTGAACACAGAGTTTTATACCCAGCCAAACTATCAATCAAGTTTCAGTTCAGAACAAAGGCATATTCCAACACACACGGTCTTCAAGTTGTATTGCCGTGCATTCTTTTGAAGCGAGATATTGGGGGGCAGCCTTCACCAAAATGAGGAGGTAAACAAAGAACAGCGTATCCAATGTGACCACATGAAAGGAAATTCCAAGATGATGGTGAAGGGAGGTCCTAGACTAACAGTTACGCACCAGATCCAGGCAGCAACTCTCCCAGACTGGAGCAGGAAGACCCAGGGCTCCAGCGTGAATTAAAAAGAAAAAACTAATGGGACTGATTGACCATCTGATACATTTATACTCATAATTGATTTAAATAATTCTATTAGAATGTTTGGGACAGAATTAATGATGAACACATAGAAAACAAAGTAAATGAATAAAGGTCAATTACTCTTTCTAGTAAAAACAAAAAGTTGTACAATAAAGGATAGGTATTCATAGTACACTGTGTAGCTTAATTATGTGTATTGTTTAGATTTTATAATAATTATTGATTTAATCTAAAATCATTATTTTACTCAAGAAGTATAAGCATGTATTATGTTGCAGGAACTATCCTAGGAGCTGGAAATATTAATAAACAAAACTATCAAGCATGCTTGTCTTCTTGGAGCTTACATACTAGAAGGAGAGCCAGATGTTAAACAAAATATTTAGGTAAAATGTAAAAGGAGATGATGGTAGGTGCTACAGAGAAAAACAAAGCAGGGAAGAGAGAGGGATAATGAATGCCAGTAATGTGAGGCATATGGTGCTTGAAATTTTAAACAGTGTGTTCATAACTATATTGGGAAGCTGGAGGGAGGGGACATATATCTATGAGGGTTGATAAGAGTCCAAAACACCTCTCTTGTTTAGTAGGAAGTTTAGAGATGATAACTAACATTGAAAACACAAGAAGAATGACTCAAGAATGCCATTTAAAAATATGGAGGCAACCCCAAAAGAACCCCTCATATTTATGGTCAAATAATTTTCAATAAGGGTGCCAAGAAAATTTGGTAAGGAAAGGATAGTCTTTTCAACAAATGGTGTTGGGAAAACTGGATATCCACATGCTAAAAAATAAAGCTGGACCCTTACCTCAAACCATGCAAAAAATTAACTCAAATTGGATAAAAAACCTAACTGTAAGATATAAAACTCTTAGCAGAAAACATGGGGGGAAAGCTTCATG